CTCTGCCCTCCTCCAGGATCGGCTGGCATCCTACTACCAGGATTGGCTGGCACCCTACTGCCTCGGCCTTCGGGCCCCATCTTCACTGAGGTGGTAGTGCTTTGGCCTACCCCTCCCACCTCCCCTCTGCACCAGTATCACTTGGTGCTGCTCTCACTTCTGCCACACTCGCGGCAGCTCTACGACTCTTTCCTGGCTCTGGTGTCACTACAGGCACCATCCAACCTTTTCCACAACCAGACTCCTCACGGCTGGGGTCTACCGCCTCCCTCCTTGGCAGTATCGACTGCCCTCCTCTATAACAGGTTGCTGGCATCTCTCGCCTGTCTTCCTCCCTCCACGCTTGCGGCTCGGCCCCGGCCGAACGACCGGTTGGCCTACCTTGGTATTGCACTATCTCCTGGGTTGAGCTGGCCGGCCCCGTCATGGCATTTCGCCAGGGTCCTATTGTGGGCCTGATAGCAGACACATTTGTTTGCGGACACCTGTAGAGGCACTTGGGGGTTTCGTAATCTATTTTTTCCTTTGTCGAGATGACGCTGAAGGGTTTTCTTCCCTCTCCTGCCTTCCCTGTGGAGGACGATTGTTCCTGTGCGGGGCGGGATGTGCGGTTAGGCCCATACCAGAGGGTCTTAGGGGGGTTGTTTTGGTCCCTGGGGTGCGGAGAAATGCGTTTGGAATTAAGGTTTTGTTTTTGCCATAGCTAGCGCTCCATGCAGGTTCTTGTACCTTAACAAAGAATATATGAGTTAAACAAAAAAAAAAATCCTTATATTTTTTTATCTTCTTTACGCAATCTGGTAATCTCCTTCGGATACCCTTTCTTATGTGCCAGGGATATTCCTTTACCTCTTTGAAGTTATTCGGCTCAGTTATTTATTTTTGCACTTTGTTTGTTTGTTTTGTTTCTTGCTACCTGAAACATTTACTTCCCTCCTCCCCTTGCTTAGGGTCGAGTTGGTGTGCGCTACCTAGCCTCAAAGGTATTCAGGGTGAGATATCCATGGTTTAAGCCCGGTAATCCCTG